GCTCAAAATTCAGTTTTTGAGCCAATGCTATATATTTTCAAAATTCAAATTTCAAAGGAGGATTCACTCATTATTCACAAACCTCACACAAAAACTCTCCAACTCTCTCTCAAATCAAATTGAACTCTCTCTCAAATCAAATTGAATTCTCTCTAAAATTGCTCAAGAACACTAAAGCAAAAACTCAACAAATCTTCATCTTCCTCTCTCACCTCCGCCGCGATCTCCTCTTACTCCCGTTGGTCACTGCCATTACCACCACCTCCCTCGGCGCACACACCTCTAACCACCACGAAACCGAGTTCCAGTCCGCTACTCCATCCGTCGTGATTAACAATTGTCGGTCTGAAGCTCCCTCCATTGCGCGTCTTGATCGCACGAGTTTCCTCCATCTTCGCAAGCACTTTCTGGAAATAATTTCTTCCTTCTCCGAGCTTCTGTCTGTGATTATTCTTCTACATATCCATTTGATTAAATTTTCGATAATCTCTTGAATCTTGTTGAATTTAATTTCTTATTTATATAATTGACTTTGTGAATTGAATTCTCAATTGATTATTACATGAATTGAATTCTTGAGAGATACTTGATTCTTGAATTTCAATGACGTTGAAGTGTGGAGTTGGTTGAATTTATGCATAATTGTTTGGATCTAATGAGTTTACACGTCGAATTACATATTTGTTCATTTTTACTTGAATTCTTTGTTCTGGTTCGATTATTGTTGAAGTTTGATGAGAATTGATGTAAATTTCATGTGTTAATGCAATTTCGGATCAATTTGATGGTGAATTAATTTTTCGACATTAAAATGCTTTGATCCGATTAATTGCATCAATACTTGAATAATTGGTTTAAGGCTTGGAATCATTGCTTGAATTTGAAATTGATTATTTGCAAAGTATTTGTAATTTCCAAGTGACGATACTTGAATCAGTGAATATATTTTTGTGTATTTCTGGGTGAGTTTTACACTCATTTTTGTCTGATTCCGATACATGTATGTGTTTCTTCTTGGAAACTACAATCGCATTGCAAATGGCTTTACAAATGTGGTTTGATGCTTACTTGAGCATGTTTATGCATTTATGGATCGTTGGTGTGGAGTTATATCGTTTTCGACATGACTTTTTGGATGATTTTTTGACACGGTGTAATGCTGCCCGGTGTTGGTAAGTTGAGCACATGGCATGTTTTAATTTATGGTTAATGCTCAAGTGAGTTTGTTTTGGTACTTAGTTGACATTTATGTCAAGTATTGTCGATTTTAGATAAATATTTCGCGCGGTTCATATATTAACGAAAATGCTGCTCGATTAGATAAGTTGGTGCAAATATGCGATTAGTTGTTGTTTGATGTACAATTATACTTGCCTTGGAATTTTTTTAGCATTTGCGTTGAGTGGTGACGATTCCGGATCGACATTTTGGAGCGTTTCATGTGTTACATCACCACTACTTGGATTTTACATTTTTGGTTCCAATGCACATTTAAGTTCCATTTCTTCATGATTTAATCCCAAATTAAATTGTTATGAGAATGCATAACTCCGATTTTGTTGCCTTGTTTTTTCTAACATGTTTGTTGACTTGTGCAAGGGATTTCGAGATAACTTTCAATTGATTAACTAACTCTTGGTTATTCAATTAAATCATGTTATTCCACTTTATTTGTGGATCGATTACGCTTCCGACGTGTTTGATTTTGTTTCTCATTTTATGAGATATATACACTGCTTGTGTTTTTTATAGGGATGTGAATTTTTTTGCAAGTGTTTTGTTTGTTGTTCGGATGTATCCTATGCATTTCACATGTGATTTATTTTCACATTGTTGATACTTTGGAACATATGCCGAGAGCGCGGTCTGTGGCTGTTTTGTTTGTTGATGCTAGCTTGCACGATGTTTTCCGAGTTTTTCTGCTTTGGTTGCTTACTACGAACTCTTGTTCGTTTGGTATTATTTCGTTTCTTGTTTATTTTCCGCATCAAATTTTCTTTTCCTTTCCATAAGAAGTAGGAATACAGATGCATGACTGGGAGTCCCTACTTTAGGTGGGAAATCTAATTAAAGTCCTCAAAGGTGGCGATGTTTGTTTTGCAAAGACATCGATGAGGCAATGTTTGTGTTTGCTTGTATGCAAAAGACCTCAAACGAGGCAAGTTATTTGTTTAAAGACCTTGGCAAAGGAATTGAGTAAAGTCCTCGACAAAGGAATTTCCCCTTCCCTTTTATTTTTTGCTTTCTATCGTGTCAATAAGTGGAGCCGAGGGACCGCAATCGGCCCCCACGCATTCTAGTCTATGTCGTTCTTAGCTCCCGTTGTATGTTGATGCTTCGAACTGTGCCTCTTCTTGTCCATTAAGTCAAATAAAGTGGAATATAGGTACCATAATCATCCCTCACGCTTTGTCATTCGTTTCGATGATATTAGCTTATGATTCTTCAAACATTGACATTTCGAGTTGTTACTCGATGTCATTGCTCGAGCAAATCAAGTGGAAAAGAGTTCCTTATTCCCACCTTGAGATCCGTTGGACTCTTTGATTGTTATTAGCTCACACTCAATTTTATTTTGGCTTCGGCTCAACTTTTTTTATTGTACTTGTGCTTGTTCTTTTCTTTACACCTTTGAATGTTCCCTTAGGATTCACTTGTTTCATTTCTGATGCAAGTTAGACATTAAGATTGTAATCCATGCATGCTAACCTAGGTAATGTATCCCTTTCAAACTCAACCATAGGATCAATCATTGTATGATAACATTAGGAGTAGAACTAGATAGTTTCCCTTATATTTTTTTCTTCCCCTTTTGCATTCTTAAAACAAAAACCTCTTTCTTTAAGAAAATGCTAAAACACTTATAATGGAAGATGCTAATCATATCCGGTTGATTCTTGTGGGGTAGAGAGAATCAGTTTTTACGGAATCTTGCTCTATTTTAACTCCAGACTTTATTACGATTCAAATCACAAACCCTTTTTCAAGGTAAAAACAATCAACCAATTCAAATTCTTTTCGTCTTCGAGCCTTGCATCGAAACTCTCAAAATGATACGTTAATTCTACTATGTGCATTATGACGCGTAAATCCCTAAGAGTTGGGTAGCACTATGTCTACTTGCTAGAGCATGAATGTAGCAATATCCGCCTTCGAGAGCTTTTCCTTTTGAAAATACCTCTTCAGGTAGAACATGTTAATTCATTCCTATGCCAACGCGTGAGTCTCCAAAGGTCGAGCTGCGGTAGGAAGAAAAATTAGCATTGTTCATAAAAAAAAAAAAAACTGAAACTTTTGCGGTTAACTATGAAGTGCCTTGATCCCCATTGCATGGAAGGTGGTACATAGGCACAAAGGTTTGTAACCGAGGCAAGCATGCTTAAAAAACCCTTTTTCTTTGTATATACACTCTACATTCACGCATTTCCCCTTAGCTCGATTAGTGTTTAGATGTGAACACACCCTTTGATTATAACAACAAGAGTGGATCTCGTGGAGTACCATAAATGTGAGGGGTGCTAATACATTCCCCTTGCATAATCGACTCCCTTACCTGTATCTCTCAGTCGTTTGATCATGATTTCACCCTTCTCAGGATTACTCGATGTTTACCTTTCCCTTCCCGTGGGATAAAAAATATTTGATGGAGACTTCATTGATTTTCTCTAGATGATGTTCATCCGGTTGTTTCACCATCTTGATAGTCAGTTTTAATGTAATTTTTTCTGTTTTTTCCATTTTGCTCCATTTTTCTGCGCAGAGACCTCCGAATGATAATTACCTGAATTATACATCAGAAAACCATCATAACACCATATAAATGCATGAATATACCCTAAATCAAGTACAAACCAAGCTAATTAAATGGTGTATTTTACATGTTATCAAACTCCCCCACACTTGAATTGTTGCTTGTCCTCAAGAAACTTATCTTGCATATGGAATATGTAAAATGCAATAATTTAGAATAAAAGGACTCAAGAAAAGAAACATCACAAATACTCATGCGTAATTCAAAAATTAAATTGGCTAAAGGCTAATTTGATAGGTACTAAAATTAACACTAAGGATATTGTGACAATACAAACCACATTTTATAGACAAAATTCTCCCTCCTAGATGTTAACCTGTAAATTCTAGCTGAAGGATTCAATAGAAAATGAGGGTAATCACGTTTGAAAATTACTAAGTATGAAGACATTCATCCTTCAACATATTATTTACGTTGACCAATAGGGTTCGACTAATGTGGTAGGTTTGGTTTGGAAGAATCTCAAGATCACTTCCACAAAATAGGATCTCTCTCTTCAAAACATGTTCGTAATCTCAGAAAGGTTTGCATATGTCAAACATTTGACTATGTGTCAAGTTTGACACAATGATTTGATGTTGTGGAATTAGCGCATTTTATAATCTAAGAGCCAATTAAACTAATGATGTTTTGATGATGCTATAGAAGTTAATCAACATCTCTAAATAGAGGCAGTTAGAAAGTTCAAAGTCGGTTATCAACGTGATGAATAGTTTGCACTAGTTTTAAATAGTGAAGACGTATGGAAGCAATTTAGGAGTTTGAAACCCACGTAAGGGTATACATGTAAATTACTGGGGAAATAGCCATTGTCGATGTTTATCATTGTAGTTGTATATAATACAGGTCATACATGTAACCATGGTCGCAAAAACTACTTCTTTTCTATAGAACTAGAGTACCCAAGTCATAGAGCAAAATAGTTTGTGAGAAAATGTTTGAGTTTACGTCCTTGTCTTTTACTTTTCTAAGTTTACTTAATTGAAACATCTTACTTTAATGTCATTTACTAAGCTTTTTATTATCTTTACCCAAAGTTTGTTATAATTAAAGTTTATGTTCAGTTAAAATGGTGTCAGCAACAGGTTCTCTGCTAGGGTAAGTCTCGGAGGCTTTTGGAAGTAACAAGGATGAAGATGATCTCAAGGAAAGGAATACCAAAAAATTCAAAAATAATGGGAAAGAACATATGGTTCAAGAGGATGTGTTCCAAGTGAATCAAAATGGAGAAACATTGGAGAAGACTAGAAACAAGATAGACATATCTTTCAAGGATATGGTCATGGGAAGAGATTCTGAGATCATGGAGGAAGGAGATGAGTCAGGAGGCAAGGAAGAAAACATGGAGATGAATATTCTTGATCTAGAAAACATGAAAGTGGATGAGCATGTCGAAGGGGGATATGTTTGTCCGAAATTCACATTTTCAAAACATGAAGAATGAAGGATCCACAAACCATGGCACAAATGGCTGAATGTGAAGCTTCTTGGAAGGGTCAAGAAGGTATTAGGCTGAAACAGATGTGGGCCAAGAAGGGATTGATTAACATCATTTATTTGAGTAACAATTACTACGTTGTCACCTTCACACATGATGATGATCACAATGCGGCATTATCTAATGGCACTTGGTTTATTTGTGATCACTACCTCAATGTGAAAGAGTGGAGTTCTGACTTTCACCCGACTAGTGACACCATTGAAAAAGTTGTGGTTTGGATACGAATTTCAGGATTACCAATTGAGTACTTTGATCCAGAGATTTTGTAGTTCATTAGAAATAGGATGGGGAAGACAATTAAGTTGAATAAGAATACATTGATACATGAACAAGGAAATTATGCGTGATTATGCATCAAAGTTGATTTGTCCAACCCACTAATTGATATGTTCAAGATAAATAAGAGAAATTGCAAGGTGGAATATGAAGGGTTGCATTCAATATGCATCAATTACGCTCGATTCAGCCATTACAAAGAAGGATGTCTAAAGAAGCATATCCAAAGATATGATACAACCTTCACTGATATTGGTCACAACAAGAATTTGGAAGATCATATGACTGAACGCCCATGGATGATGGTATAGAAAAACAGGAGAATGGGAAAGCACATGGAAACAGTGGAGTCAACACCATAAATTTGATGATCGGATAAAGCAATGGGAACATAACTGGCAACAGCAAAGCTCCGGTGATAATCAATACAGACATAGGCGTCACGGGCTCTCGGCTTAATGCATTAAATGATACCACTAATGAAGGAATCATTGCAAATAATGGTATTCGTGTGGAAATGATCGGTAATAATAAGGTGAATAATGGGAATAAACAAAAGGAATCAAACAACACATTCTCATTGGTAGAGCATAATAGGAAAATTCCAGTGGAAGACAATGGAGAAAGGAATAATAAAAGCACTATATGTGAAAAAAAGGAAACATCAATGGTACAACAGGTAACATAAACTCAATATGGCAGACAAGCCCAACAAGAAAAACAGACGCACCACCAACAAACCCATTAAAGAATGAAACGTGGCAGGAATTAAAAGGACACCTTTTAAAATAACATGAAACCAATGCAAAATCAATGAACACCTGGTAGACATTCTGAGAGACAAGAATACAAAGGAATTAATTGTGTCTCTAAATAATGTCAACATCGATGGAATAGCTTGTGTGATTGGACGAGAAATTAACAAGGAAAATCACAATAGAGCACATGGAAGATGGCCGATTATGGATGGAAGCATAAGACCAGAAGTGGAAATTGAAGTCCCCAATAACCCTATACGGCCTAATGACCAATCAAATTCCAATTTTGAGACACCTAACAACACTCACAATGGGAACCAGTGTCAATAATATGGGAACAAAAATTCATCGGAGATCAATCAAGATACACAAAACCTAGAGGGTAACATTATGTAAGGTGTGGGTGAAACCCCACAATAAGTGACATGAGCAAGGAGTTTCCTTTTTCTTGATAATTTGTTTTATGATGAAAAGTTAAAGTGATATTTTTGTGTGGAACTGTTGTGGTGTAGCCAACACAAGCTTTTGTAGAGTTTGCAAGCAATAAATAAGCATCCATAAGCCGAAAATGATTGTGATTGTGGTGACTTGCTGTGAGACGATTATAATTAAGAAAGTGTTCAACAAGCTTGGTTTTGATGTGTTCTTCACAGCTGATAACCATGGAATGCAGGTGAAGTTATTGTATCCTGGTTTGAAGCTGGAATGAGTGTTTCTCTTATCAAGAAAAAGTTTCAGAAGTCAATAGCTACTGACTTTAGTTCATAGGCAGGAGCGCCCGACGAGTGAAGAGCCAGAACGACTCGCCTGACGAAGCTGCCGAGCATCGAGCGAAGCAAATTATTTTCTTCAGCCTGCGTGCATTGTTGCTGCCACGTGGGCGTGTTAGTAGGGCTTTCCCGACGAAGCTTCTGTAGCTCCGGGCGAAGCAGACTGGGCAGACCTTGTATATATGCTACTTTGTAGATATTTTTTGAAACATCTTCCACTTTCTACCACTTTTGTATCCTAGAAGCAACTTTTGTAAGAGAAAAAACCCACTTTCTTCATTTCTAAGTCAAAAGCAAAACCTTTATGCTTCAAATCTTTAATTCTTCACGATTGATTCCCCAAAGCTTTGTTGTTGACTTATTGATCAAGCTCTCTTTGTGTCAAGATTAGAGGTAGTTATTCTTCACTTTTGTATGTATTTCTCTTGATATCTTGTATGTGAACAAGTTGGTGATTAATATATGGTGAAAAGCCTTATTGTTATGGTATTTGTATGATTTGGATCATTATTGACAAATAAGTTCCAACTCTCGACCTAGGTTTTCATCCATCAACAAACAAGTTCTAGACATAGTTTTGTGAGTTGATAATCACTTATGATAAAATATGATAAAACTCACAATTTGTTTTAGAGATGAAACATATTGAGAGAATATATGACTATATTGATTGTTAGTAAGTTCACATGCTTTATTAAGAAAATATGTATGAAATAGATTATCGATCCCTAATTTTGACATGCTTTTACCAATCGTTTTTCAAACAAAAACGTCTTTTACTGTTAGTTAACACTTTTCATGAAATCAAAACTTTCGGTTACCAACCCTTTTATAAACCCATGCTTAAAACAATTTCAAATGTAGAACGGAGGTAATATCACCCAATCCCTTTGGATACTATAAAGAAAATACTTAATCTATAAAAGTGTTTCAACGAGGGCCAATCTATAGGGGTGGTCAACGAATTTGTGAAAGACTAGAAAATGTACTTTGTAATGAAAATTTGGTGAATGTCGTACCCTTATGTCTATGTGAGAGTTTTGATCAGGTTTGATTTTTCTGATTAATATCCTCTTCTCATTCGTCCTTATGGGAATGAAAGGCCAAAATCCAACCCTTGTTTTCGTTTGAGAGTGTTAGGTTAGCTGAAAAGTATTACCATCATATGTTGGAAACTTGCAGGAGCGACAATGCAACCATGTTAGATAATATGAAGAGGCTCCAAGAAAGCTTAACTAATTGTAAATTGAGCACTTTAAACCCAATGACGAGGCAGAAAAAAGGGTCATGAAACGCCTCAAGGGTATTCAAAATCACTTGCAATCCAAGATTAGAGTTGGTGGGCTAAGAAGATTGGAACATATACTGCAGCAAGATATGAATGTGTTGCTTAAGAAAGAAGAACTCATGTTGTTTCAACGGTCTAGAGCAAATTGGCTTTTGGATGCAAATCGAAACACAAAACATTATCACCTCAAAACAGTCCAACGATGAAGGAGGAACAACAATATTTTAATTAGGAATGATAATGGCCAGTGGATTGATGAAGATAACCAAGTCCGACAGATCTTCATTGATCATTACAAGCAGCTTTTCTCTATGAATGATACAAACCAGATGTGGGAGTAAACCAAAAATTCTTTTCCTTAGCTCGATCTAGATATAATGATAAAGCTAGGTGAAGACATTAGTGACGAGGAAGTCAAGAGTGTTGTTTTTAACATGAACCCTTGAAAACATTAGGGGCAGATGGTTTTCCTGTAGGGTTTTTTCAAAAACATTGGAATATTGTGGGACACAACGTTTTTGGTTTTGTTAAAAGAGTGTGTGAATGACCTAGTGAATTGTCAAGGATAAATCAGACTGATATATGCCTTATTCCAAAGATGAAACAGTCGGAGCATGTTAATCACTACAGACCAATCTCCTTGTGTAACTTGATCTACATTGTGGTAAGCAAAACTATTATGGAATATTTTATAGGAAGTATGTCTAGGCTGGTTTCACCTTATCAGTCAGGATTTATTCCAGGGCGTAGCATACATGAGAATATTATTGTGGCGCAGGAACTTGTTCATCGCATAAGAAATTTAAAAGGAAAGAAAGGCTTTTTTGCGATCAAGGTGGATATTTTAAAGGCCTATGATAAACTGAGCTGAAAATTTATTTGGAGGGTTCTGGAGGAAATCCAACTACCTAGGAAAATGATTGACACTATCATGCATGAAGTGACTAGTGTTAATACAAATATCAAATTTAATGGTGCAACATCAGAATATTTTTGACCTAGTAGGCGTAATCATCAAGGAAATCCTATATTTCCTTACATCTTTGTGCTTTGTTTGGACAAACTTTCTCATCTCATCACTTAAGCAGTTGATGATGGAAACTGGAGGGCAATCAAAGTTGGAAAGAAGGACTGGCGGTATCTCACCTTATATTTATTAGAGGGTAATTTAATATTTGTCATTTGTAAATATTTTGATTAGGGCCTATGTGGCATTCTTATTTGTGTATAAATAGGTGTACTAGGTTTACATTTATATCAATCAATTCCTTCAATCATTAGTGGCAGCTTTTAGCATTTATTCCTTTTCTCTCTTCTTCCTCAATTTCATCACCTTGCACTAACAAATTGTTGAAAGAAGAAACAGAACTTTGCTTGATATGACCAGAAGTATGCTGAAAGAGAAGAAGTTACCTCACATGTTATGGGGAGAAGCTGTTGCCACATCAGCATATGTTTTGAATAGGTGTCCAACAAAGAAGCTGAAGGAAACTGTTCCTTTAGAAAAATGGACTGGAGACAAGCAAAGTGTTAGCCATCTGAAGGTGTTTGGCTCTGTATGCTACAAACACGTTCCAGATGCTAGAAGACGAAAACTGGATGATAGAAGCAAAACAATGTTACTGGTGGGGTACCACAGTACAAGTGCCTATAAGCTTTATTGTCCAGAAACCAACAAAGTTGAAATCAGCAGAGACGTCATTGTGAAAGAGTCAGAAACATGGGATTGGAACAAGCTTCAATCAGATTCTGGTGTAGTGCCAACACCAGGGTTAGTTTCTGAAAGTTCTGAAGACGAGTCAGAGTCAGAAGATGAAGACTCTGAAGATGAGTCAGAATCTCAGGGAGATT